ATTAAGGGCTTCCGCTACGAGCTCTACTGCCTGGCGCGGGCGGCGCGCACCCCGCTCTGCCTGGTCTACTGCGTACGGCCCGGCAGTCCGAGCGGCGAACCTCGGGTGGCGGCTGCGGAGGAGAAGCAGAGCGGGAACGTCAGTGTGAGTTGGCGGCCGCGCACCCAAGAGGGAGGGAGACCTCCGGCAGCGGGCGCCCGCGTCCTGAGGGAAGCGCGAGCAGTGGACTCGGTAGTAAATGGGGGAACCCAGGCACACCTACTTACGGAACTGGAGCCGAAGGAAACCGGGACTCCAGATCTCCCAGCTGTCGTGATCCCTGATTTCGAGAAAGCTGCAAACCACGTGTCCAGTGCCTTGTACCCTCCCGAACTTCTGGAGGCCCTAATGCTTCGCTTCGAGGCTCCGGACTCGCAGAACCGCTGGGACCGACCCCTGTTCACCTTGGTGGGCTTAGAGGAGCCGTTGCCCCTCGCAGAGATCCGGGCTGCACTTTTTGAGAACCCTGCTCCTCCACCCCATCAGTCTACCCAGTCCCAGCCCCTTGCCTCCGGCAGCTTTCTGCACCAGCTGGATCAGGTCACCAGCCAGGTGTTGGCGGGACTGATGGAAGCGCAGAAGAGCGCAGTCCCCGGAGACTTGCTTAAGCTTCCTGGGACCACGGAACACCTTCAGTTTACCCGGCCTTTGTCCATGGCCGAACTGAGCCGCCTCCGACGCCAGTTTATTTCCTACACCAAAACGCATCCTAATAATGAGAACCTGCCTCAGCTGGCCAACATGTTTCTGCAGTATCTCAACCAGAGCCTGCTCTAACCAGAGGTGTTTGGTGACAGGCCGTGGCTCCTTGTCTAACCTCTACTGCCCTGTATTTCTCTGAGAAAAATAATCTGAAGGTCTGCAGAGCATACTGATGTGCGGTACTAGAGCTGTTGCGACTGACTCACACTTTGCAGAATGCCCCTGTGCCAGGCCTTGAGTTTAGACTCAGAGCATACTCTGAGACTAGAAAAACTGGGGAACTAGCTTGAAGGATCTTGGCAAATTTCCTCAGAGGACAGAGCTCAGATGGACAGGGCTTGCTTAGATTGGGATCTACTTGGGATATCCCACTGCATTGACTTCCCCCAGCTGAACTGTGGGAAAGCAGACTGGATGGATGAATTGTTTTAAAAACACTTGTGAACAGAAACTTAAGATGGCACAGTTCTGCATCTGCACTGGCCCTTCTTTCATACCACAAATAGTATTTTTTAGTACTGTACCTAAGATTTTTGCTAGTCTATCCTGGGTCTGGAGGTCACAGATAAATCCACTGGTTTCTGTCCTTGGGAAGCTTTGGTTCTAGTGGAAATAAAAGACATATTTTATTATGTCTTTTAATAATAAAAGACATAATAGCCACTAGATTATTTCATTTAATAAAACCTTTTAGAAAGAGTCGGCTGGAATCTCTTTCACTTAATGTAACTTAATGTTCATATAATTAATGTAACATTTTAGATCTACATACAGGGGTGGGCAAAAGTAGGTCTACAGTTGTGAGTACATGAAAGTTTATTGTATTATATTATTTTCCATACAAACAACTGTAAACCTACTTTTGCCAACCCCTATATATTTCTGCTGTGCCTTTGAAATAGTACGTCAATAGTGCGTATTGAGATATTTTGTTCTAATCTAGAGGGATTGTCACTTCTGTAATTTGTGCTTCACTGTGTTCTGAGGCAAATGTCGCTTTAAGTTTGTCTTTCATTCTTCCATTGGTTATTTATTAAGCCAACGATAGGTACCTGTCTTACCAGTGCTTGTGATTTTTTAAAGAATTGGGTAATATTTGCCCTTGAGAGGTTAATAGTTTGTTGAGAAATACAGACAAGTAAACAGATGATTACAGGACATAAGGGGCTGGTGGTTAGAGGGTGGTCACAGAATGCTTTAGGAGTCCAGAGGAGGAAAGGATTGACTAGCTGTTGAGAGAAGATTGTTTTGCAAAAGGCTTCAGAGGGATTACTATGTAAACTGCCACTTTAGAACAAGGGTCAGCAAAGGGCCAAATAGTAAATATTTTAGGCTTTGTGGACCACAGCCTCCCTGTTGCAGCTTATCAGCTTTGCCACTGTAACACAAAAGCAGCGATAGTCTAAAAATGAGCTCTGATCGGTGTGGCTCAGTTGGCACATGCCTAGGTTGTAGGTTCAACCCCAGTTGGGGCATATATGAGAGGCAGCCAATCAATGTTCTCTTTCTCCCTCTCTAAAAAATGAAAATTAAAAAATCAATAAACAAGTCCTTGGGTGAGGATTAAAAGAAAGAAAAAATATCAATGTGTTTTAACAAAACCATGTACACTGAAATGTGAATTATGTTTAATTTTAACATATCACAAGGTACTATTCTTTAGACTTGTTTCAATCATTTAAAAATGTAAAAATCATTTGTATCTCAGAGCTCTACAGAAGTAGGCAGTGGGCTTGATTAGGTCTGCTGATTGTAATTTGCTGACCTCTGTTCCAGAATGCTGAACAGCAGTTTGCTTTGGAGAAAAGAGAGCAAAACAGATTTTTCTGTAAGTGCAGGGATATGTTAAAAAAATATTTTAAAAAATAGGTTGCCATGCTTGGTAATGTATTTCTTGCTTATCAGGTAATCTATACCACCTTTTGTTTCTGATATATGAGCGAGGATTCCTGCCACAAATGGAGGTTTGGACTAAGAAATCTTTAAGTCCTCTTCCAATGAATTCTGGATTGCCATTCTAAATTGAACTAAACTATACTGGTTAGAAAGAACATTAGTTTTGGAGTCAGATTTATCAATTAGTAAGTTGCAGAATCTAGATTTTATGTGGCCAAATATTTAATCTCTTTGGAGTCTCAGTTTTCTCATTATTATAATGAAACCATTAATAACATCTCTAAGGATTATTGGAAGGATTTAAGTGAGATAATGCGTATAAAGCACATAGCACCATGTTTCATAATAAAAGTTTATTACATTTTGCCTATTATTATAGTTACCTGGATCCCACTTGTCACCTAAGCTTGCCGTATTCATTTGCTTTATAACTTTTTACAAGTATTAGAGGCAGAAATCTATCCTAAGTTTGAAATCTATCCTAGTTGGCCTCTGATGAGTTGATAATTCATTTGACACTTACTAAATTAATTAAATTAATTAGTTGATGTGTATTTAGAGTAGTGCCCAGTACAAATTAAATGCTACATGCGTGTTTGCTATCAATATGATTTTATATGCCAGATGTAGGGGATATAGAAACAGCTAAGAGTTCCTTAAGGATCCAAGTCTGGTGGGGGGGAGATGGGTAAATATAATAAATCAGTGTAGTAAATACAGTGTTATACAGTGTATGATGATGTATTGATACGGTGGTTGGATGATGACTGCTTACCTAGGATCCTCCCGCAAGTTGTCATTTGAACCTTGAGAACTTGGAGAGCTTCATCTGGCCAAGACTGGTTCAGGTGGATTATGTCACTCATTACTTAAAAAAAGAAAAATTTTTTTTTCCTCCTTGATTGTAAAAATTACATTTAATTGTAGAAAAATAGAAGAAGTATAGTAAAATCCATAATCCCATTATTCAGGAATAATGTTATGTTTTGTTATATTTCCTTTGGGCTGGCTCTTCTGTACATATTTGTATAATTAAAACCAAACTACAGCTAATAATTTTATATTCTAGTTTTTAATTTAAAATTATACCAATGAAAATTTTTATTAACATTTTTAATAGTTATGTCACCTTAACAATTTAAATCTGATGTTTTCTACAATCTTTTCTCCCTAGCTTTAAAGTCCAAATTTACAGAATTTACAGTAATGTCAGAATTATCAGTAATTTTGTTATAATAATCTGTTATTGAATAGGTTGTCTTAAAATTTTCCCAATTGGAATCATACTATATGAATGTGCATTAATCTTTGTCTTCATAAATTGGTCATTTTTATTAGGATAGATATCAAGAAGTGGAATTGCTAGATTATAATTTCTTTGTTTTGTTTTTAAGTGGATTGCCCCTGATGGTGATTATCCATAAATCCTGGTGTGGAGCCTGCAAAGGTAAGTGCAAATGATCAAACCTCAGATGCGTTCTGAAATACTAGCATTTAAAAATAGGAGTAGTGACCTTCACCCAGTGACTGCTGATTGCTTTAAAGCAGGGGTCCTCAAACTACAGCCCGCGGGCCACATGCAAATACAAATATTGTATTTGTTCCCGTTTTGTTTTTTTTACTTCAAAATAAGATATGTGCAGTGTGCATAGGAATTTGTTCATAGTTTTTTTTTTAAACTATAGTCCGGCCCTCCCAACGGTCTGAGGGACAGTGAACTGGCCCCCTGTTTAAAAAGTTTGAGGACCCCTGCTTTAAAGGATACCAAGGAAATATATGACATAGATTCCCTGCTCCCAAGAAATTTGCAATTATATTTGCAGGGGGTTGGAGGGTAAGGCAGTTAAGATAAGTAGAGTATGAGATTAAGTGCTAAAGTCATATGGACAGTAAATGTTAGCAGAAGCTGAAATGTACAGAGGGACATGAGAAGGTTAGGAAAATCTTCCTGCAGAACTTGAGAATCAAATTAGAACCCAAGGTTATTTTACTTGGTAGTGTGTATTTTTTCTGCTATACCACCCTGCCACTTCCAAGTCAGATTTTTTTCTTTTGTTTCTTACGCTATACTTATAAAATCCTAGTTGGAAACGGAGTATAAAATTAGTGTGAATAATTAGTGTAACATAAATACATTAGTGATATTGTTACTCTTTTGTCTATTACTTCTTTAGTAGGAGTTACTGAAATGTGTAAAAAAGC